ATGCGTGAGAAAGAAACCAATAGTCATAACTTATTGGTGTCTTTATTTGCCGCAGTATCTCCTTAAAGCCATTGTAGACGTCCAGTGCATCAATGAGTTCGTTGAAAATTGAATGCTTGATTCAATTAATACTTAGCCTCCAGGGACTTTAAATACCAGAAATTTTATCTACGCTGGTAATCAACTTTTTCGAAAGAAGAGACAATAACAGTTCTGTAAGAATAATTAACATTTCTTTTTAATCTGATAAAATTCTTTATGATTTTTTAACATTATCTAAAATAAATTGAAAATACATTGATTAGTTTTAAAATACCAAAACTAACATTTTTTTTTTTTTTTCAAAAAATTTCTATAATATTTTGTAATAAATCTTAAAATTTTTCATTCTTCAATTATCTTAAGAATTTTTGAGCTAAGCATAATTCTTTCTAACAAATCAATAAAATCTAACATCTAACGTCTAAAATTATCCCACGCATTTATTGATCAGGTTGTCCCCATCTTATGCATGATCATGAATCATCGTGAAACCGCACCAACTATTCTTCCCTTAGGTATAAACTAAAATTTTCACCGTTCAATCGCGCTTAGGGTCCTAAGCGCAACAATACGTGACATGACGGATTTCGTGGAAGATGTTTCCCTCCTACAATGCAGTTGAGGGGGAGGGACTCCAGTTGTTCGATTTACAAAATACTTCACATTTCCGGACAGTCTGTTTCGGCGTTTCATACGAACAACACACCTGGTTTTTCGAGCATAATATACCAAGTTTGTTAAAATTAAAATTAATTCAATTTCATTATTTTAAATTTATTATTTGTAAAAGTTAAAGTCAATAAAATTTTTAAAAAAATTTTATCAAATTTGTAAACACTGCATTAAAAAATTATTAAAATTGCAGTTTTTTACATTAAACATAAAATAACTTTAGAAAAATTATTATTTACGTTCAAGTTTGTGAAAGTGAATCAAATTTAAAAAAATGTGCGCGTTAGTGTGTTTGCCGAAACCAATCGCCGTGAGTTACAGCGAAATCTCACGCCATCTGGAACTAGCGGTTCAAAACGGCGAAATTGTTAAAATAGAGCAGCTGATCAATTCAATTGCGAATGAGTTTCCAGTTCCGACAATTTTCAATGGATACTCATTACTCTGCAAGGCAATTGAGTATTCGCAGCCAGAAGCCGCCGAACTTCTTCTTAATTACATCGTAAGTAAAGAGAGTAAAGCTCCTTTCTATACCGCTCTTCACTATGCAGTTTTGGACAATAATCTTGACATCACAAGACTGATTGCTCAAAGAGGTGCGAATCTTAATTCAAAGGCGAGTATCATCAGTGATAAAATAAACGCCGAAACTTACACAGACCGATACGCGACTATTTTTTACCGTTTGTCTGAAAAATGCTCGCTAGCTTCGGACGAAATAATTCTTCGGCAACGCACGCCTTTACACTTAGCTTTCAAGAACGAAAGCTCCGAAATGATTGAATTATTAATTTATCATGGCGCTAAAGCGACGGCTGCGGATTTGGCCGAAAATTTCCCGATGGATATCGCCTTCAAAAATGACCATATTCAGGCTATGAAGCTATTGTTAAATCCAGAAAATAGTCAATTTATTCTGGATAAATTTGAAGAGCCTGAGTATTCTCATGGATATTTTCAATACATTAGCCAAGAAATTAAAGCAGGAATTTTGTCGAAGGCGATTGGTGATAAAGATTCGGAGTTGGCGATTAAGTTGATCGACAGTGGTGTGGGCGTCGATGCAGATAACAGAAAAATAGCGGTTACTCTCCTCATGGATGCAATTCTTAGCCAAAATTTAACTGTGGTCAAACATTTGCTTCGTAAAGGCGTTGAAGTCAATTCAATGGCCAAAGATGGCTCAACAGCAATGCATTATTTGTTTGCGAAGTCATTTTTCGATGAAAACGGAGAAGACATTACCATCCAAGTCGCGGAGCTATTTCTGAGTCACAATGTCGATTTCAATCTTCAGGATAGCAAAGGAATGACTCCTCTGGATGTAGTGCCTTATGACGTCGAGAAGATTAGCTTTCTACTGGAAAACGATGCAGATATTAACATCGCGACAGACAGCGGTATTACATCTTTTGAGCAAACCCTTCTAGAAATTCAGGAGGCCTCGGAGATGAATAGATCATGGATGTATGATGATGAGTATCGTGCTCGTCTTCGAAGTGTCGGCGAACTTTTTATAAAGCATGTCGTCAAGATGATTTCGAGAAATCAGCCAGTTTCTTCGAATAATCTAAGAAGGCTGGAAGAACACAACTCGTTTGTCCTCTACAGAGATAGGTGTTTCAGCGAAGCTGCAGACATGAGGTCAATCAAAGCGGGTCAATACTCCACCCTTTTTAACTTTTGGGTATGGGATGATCTTGATCACTTAGCTCAAGATGTGTGCAACAGGGAGTTTATTGATCTTGTGACCAACTCGGAAAAGTTCGATCAAAGGTTTCCGATCTATTCTGCTGATCTCAGGCGCAAATTGAAAAAGTGCTTGACTCGGAAATATCTTTTAAATTTGAGAAGCAATTTAATTGCTAAATTGTAAAATAATTTCAAAGTAATTTTCTTCCGTGATGTTGTAATAGAAAATTATATGTGTATTTATTTGTAACTATAAAATAGTTATAATTTGTTGATTTTAAAATATTTTATCAATTGTACATAAATATATTAAGTAATATATGTATATAAATTAGTTGTAAGTAAATTTTTTAATATTGGATAAATAAAAAATATATAACTTACACAATAATCTTTCTCCCAAAATATTTGTTATTTTAAAAAAATATATTCCATGTAATTTTAAGTTTTGTCCAATGTGTTTATTTTTTTTTTCTACGCTCTACTCTTGATTTTTCTTTTCAGATACCCGAAATATTTTAAACTGCATTCAGGTAGCTATTTTCCCAACACCTCGGGTGACTTTAAAAAAAAAATAGTTTAAATAAAAATATCGCTTTCGATTGAGATTCATATTCAAGGTAATTGTAGAAAGAAAATTATAAGCCATATCGCAAGATGATTGGTTTAAAACTCTTTGAGCTAGACTGCACACAGTTTTGAAAAAACTCGTTTCGAGAAAAACGCGTTTGAAAAAAAAGTGACAGAAAAAGTTAATGGAATAGTATTTAAATAATTACTAAATCGCTTATAACTTTTGAACGAATAGGAATTCCGACTTGAAATTTTCAATCTATTTTTTTAAATAGTTTTACAAACGATTTATAAAAGAAAAACAAATTGAATTTTTTTAGCCTGTACACGTATTTCCCCCCTTAAGGCAGCACTAGCGAGTGAAAAGAAAAGAAATAGCACAAACTATACATCACAAGTGCACTACCTTAATAATTAATTCAATAGCTTACCGGGTGCTGTTGAGTGAATCAGGAGAATATCAGAGCACGGGGGAATGCGATAATCTTCGTGGGTGAATTCACTAATCAATCAACCTGAGTAGGTGTACCCACCATTGATCCTGTGTCAACTTTTTCACCGCGATAGCATTGGAACAAGAAAATCCTGGGTTTCCCCGCTAACGTTGGACATACGTCCGACAGAAACGGAGTCCAAAGTTCACCATATTTATACGTGGCATCTTTTGCGTATATGGATTTTTTTTCACCATGGCCCATGACTGCTACTACTAAGCAGTCATGTTCTGTATGGCTCATTTTCGCAACTAAAATTAAAATTTATAAATAAATTAATACACCGAAAAAAATAAATAATGCTGTGCTATGAAATGAGCGGGAAGTTGCAGGGATGGCCTTTAGGGTCAACCGTTTTCCTTATTTTTTTTTTATGTTAATAAAAAAAAATGATTTGAAGAATTGACCCTTTTAAGTTTATGCATCGTCATGGCTGAAAAAATCGACCAATATATCTTCTAATGGTGCGCAGGTGGAAATTTATTTACAAGTTTTCATTCTTTTTTATTCATGGGACCATGAAAACCCAACAAAGGTATAACTTTTCACACCTGCATCAAATGTTTACCGAGTCAACAATTCAAAATTTAACACTCCCTATAAAAAGTGTTAATTTATTTATTTATTCATTTGAACGCCAATCGTCATGATACAACTATAAGTACATTTCTTAAATTATAAAATATAAATTATAAATTTTAAAATTCTGATATTTTGGCTCAAAAATTCCACAGAAATAAGTTTATTTGGCGATGCTTAGAAAAAATTAAATAAATTAACAGTGCTATTGTTATTCTAAGTGTTATTAATAATATTGCAAAATATTTTTCTTGAAATTAGAGCGGAAAGCCTGGAAGGAAATTAATTCAATGAAAATATTAATTAAAAAAAAAATATCTTAAACAAAATAAAATTAAAAAAAAAATTAAACTAGTCTGTAAAGAGAGGCAGCACTAATGCGTGAGAAAGAAACCAATAGCCATAACTTATTGGTGTCTTTATTTGCCGCAGTATCTCCTTTAAGCCATTGTAGACGTCTAGTGCATCAATGAGTTCGTTGAAAATTTATAATTTAATTTATAAAATAAATAAAAAATTTTTCATTTGTTATAATAAATCATATTTTATTAACATATTTACTTATAAATATACACATTATACATATATACATCTAAAATTAGCTGGATTAATTTTTACTCCGTAATGATATACCGAATTAAAAGATCATTTTTACTTATTTATATACTTATGATATATATTTTTTTTGTTTATTGTTTTTATTAAAAAAATGTCTTTAGTATGAAAATATTTCATTTTAGCTTTAACAATTAACAAATTGTGAACATTCGTAATTAAAATTTATACATGTACATACATACTTCATATGTAATATATAATATATAATAATAAGTACCGATGAGTGTCAGTCAGATTGTAAATATAAATCCAAATATATTTAAAATAAAAACAAACGATAAACTAAAAATCTTAACTATTAATATTAATTATTAATTAGCTTAATTATTATTATTTTTCAAAAGGCTCCTCGTAAGTTCGCGTTTTCTTTAAAATACTTTTAGTAATCATAAGCTGTTTAGTTATTGCTTTTTCCACGTTTTTTTTATTCTTATTGGACGCCGACAAATGCTCGAATGTGTCTTCTAACGCGCGTCTCGTTTTCATAAGCCGTTTTTTCAGCGCTTCATTTTCTTGCTTCAGCGCTTCGACCTCGTCTAGACCTGGACAAAAAATAAAATCCATTAATTTCAATTTTTATTGATAAAATTTATCAATTTTAATATAAATAATAATTAATTTATCAGCCGAAGCATTAAATGCTTGCAATCTCAGATTTACGAGTTCTTGCTTTATTATTATTATTATTATTATTTAATAAGTGATTATGATTAATGAATTATTAAGTCAATGATAGTAACAATGAAATGACTTTGAATCAAACATTAATTATGTAACTAAGGTGTAATTAATTTGCCAAAGCAATAGAACTCAACTGGTTTAAATACATACTATAATTAAGTCCACCTATAAAAATAATAAAATAATTATTTATAATTATTACTTGAGTCATAACAATAATAATTACTAATATTTTTTATTTTACGTCTTGTTAATTTTAAATGCACGAATCATAATATGAATTAAAATAATTTGTATAATATTCGTCAGATAACTTAAAAAAAAAAAATGTTTCTTTGCAATTTTCAAAAATTAAAAAAATTTTCGTAACTTGAAAACACGATAACTGACAAAAAAATTTATTATTTAATTAATTTTTTTTTTTTAATAAATTTATTATGTCTCTAAGAAATTCAGTATTGAAAATGGTTATCTAACTCCGTTTAATTTAATTGTAATGAATAAAAAACTTAACTGATTTTGACATTGTAAAAAAATTTTTTTATGCGCATGCGCGTTATGACACTTAGTTCGGGGTCATCTGAGTGATCCGAACGGAAATGTAGCCAATGTAATAATTGTAAAGAAATTCAAAAAGTAACTTGCTCTCTAACAAGTTATATACATTTAATACTTCATACATAACACTTAATGTATGTCAAATAATAGTAAATTCTATATAATAAAATACACACATTAAAACATTTAAGTATCATATTTATGAAAAAAATTAAACTGTAACCCATGAAACATTACAAAAGAACGACAATTGATCTGTCTTCTAAGTCTTCTAAGTCATAAGAAATTAGTTGTCGGTAAGGTAAATTTTTTTAGGTAACTGGCGGTGAAGGAAATTTAAATTATATAATCTAAATTCAAACAACCTTTATATTCTGAATAAGAATAATTCTTCTTGAAAATATTTATTGTTTTTATTTATTAAAATATATAAATATTGATTACTAAAATTAAACAAAAAATCGCTTATTTAATGGGAAATTATTTATTTTTCTTTATAAAGTAATTTTTTGTTAATATATTTAAAATATTAAAATCAAACTGTTTTTTATTTGTTTCAACTTAAACTATTATTTATTTATACACCTTCTCAACATTTATCAATAATTACGTTCTTGTCATATGAATATTATAAAACAAACAATTATTTTTTATATATATGTAATTAGAATAACATAAGAAGAAAAAATTATTTATTTAAATATAATTCGTTTAAACTTAGATTAAAGTTAAAAAAATATAGGAATATCAGATATAATTAGTAAGTTCAAAAATATTAGAAAATTTAAAAAAAAAAAGATGTTTTTGTTCCTTTAATATTGATAAATTTTGAGAAAGTGTATAAATAAATAATAGTTTAAGTTGAAACAAATAAAAAACAGTTTGATTTTAATATTTTATATAATTAATAAAAAATTACTTTATAAAGAAAAATAAATAATTTCCGATTAAATAAGCGATTTTTTGTTTTATTTTAGTAATCAATATTTATATATTTTAATAAATAAAAACAATAAATATTTTCATTGATAATGATGATAAATGATTGATAAATGAAATTTCAAATTCTATAAATGACTGAAATAAATTTTTTTTTTCAATATAAAAAAATAAATTTTTTTTTCAATATAAAAAAATTGAATGATAATTATGAATTGTGCACTGTTGACTTTTTCAAAAATTATAAATAAATTTTTTTTTAAAATACCTTCAGTATGTAGCGGACTTTCACGATCTAGATCTCTGAGCGTGCGATTGTTACAATTAATTTCCTCGTCGCTTAACAAATTAGTCATCGACTCTGTAATTTTTAATGTATCTTTTAATGGTCTTATCGACAGGGCAGCATCACTCTCGATACCTAAATCCGGAGAACAACTTGATTTACTCCTTCCGGATGACGACGGGTAACTAATTGGCAGCCAGTAGTGGCTCTGAAATCAAAATCACAAAATTTCTAAAAAATCACCATAAGAAAATTAAAAAAAAAAAAAACTTTCTAAACAGCAAAATATTCAACTCAATTTTTTATAAAAAAATCTCTAAGTTTTCTTATCTTAATTGTTCATTTAACCAAAGAAAAAATCTGTATTCAAAAATATTAAATTATTTCTGAATAATTTGATATAATAAAATGATATTATTGCAGCAAAAAAATATAACGAATTAAAAAAATTTATTTCTCGAAAAACTCACACTATAAGAATGAAATTCCTGAAGAATATCATCAGACTTGACTTCGGGTACCGAAGAAACGCCACTAGAACTGGGAGCAGAGTCACTGCTCTCAACAACAAGCCTCCTCCTCAGCTCCTTATTAGCCCCCTCTAAATCCTGCATCCTCTGCCGATGATTCTCATTCATGCAACTGAGCTCAGCAATTTCCTTCTCAAACTTCTCCTGCAGATTCCTGACACTCGAATCATACCTAGCCTCCATCTTCCTCATCTCCTGCTCCAGCCTAAGCTTATCATTAGTCAGCTTAGTATTCTCCACCAACACCTGACTGTGAGCCAGAGTCAACCTATCCAGATCCTGAGTGAGCACCCCAACATTATTCCTCGCGACTTCATTATCTTCTTCCAGCTTCTTGAGCTTGACCCTCAGCGCGTCATTCTCGACATTCAGCGTGAAGATCATCTCCCCAATCTTCTTCTCATTGATCTCTTTATATTGAATCAACTCGTTCTTCTGCTTAGCAATTTCCGCAGCCATGCTGTCCAAGTCAGCAAGTTTCTCCCTCTGGAGCTTCCTCTTGTCCTTTTTCCTGTCCTTCTCTTCAAACAACCCGAACAATTTTTCACAGTAACTCCTGGAGCCCTCGAACCTGCTCAATATTGAGGCGAGCTTCTCCTCACCCAGCTCCAGTCTAAGCTGCTCCAACTCAGCAGCCAGGACATTGTTAATATCCTGCAGAAGCTTGACGGGATTCTCACCAATTTCTGCCTGGTAGGTCTTGTGGCAAGGGACGTAGTCCAGAGAATCTTCCGAGTCGCTGAAGCTCTTGCTAAACTTCCCCAGGCCCATCCTGGCCCTCGTCTTCGGGTAGACGTCCGCCAGCCCGATCCTGGCCAGAGAAACTTTCCTGTCCGGCTCTGAAAAAGTTTCCGAGTCGCTCTGCGCGGACTCAAGAATTCCCCGGTGTTTACTCTGGATCTCCTGGACAATCATCTCGGTCTGGCTTTTTATCAGCTCCTGACCTTCCTGACAGATGCACAAATCGTTCAAAGTCAACGGAACGTCCTCTAGAGCCTGGACCAGGTCTTCGGAAAGAATCTTGGAGCTTGCCAAGAAGTCTATGATTATTTTCTTGTGCTCTGCGTCCTCGCTGGTGGCTGTGGACTTGAGGATTCCCTTCATAAAGTTCACCAGGCCCTTCAAGTGCGTCCGCAAAAGCTCGCAGTACTCCCTCGCATTCCTGGACTCTATTTGCAGGCTCTCGTGCTCCGGCTTGGACAAAAGTTTCAACCAGGAAAGAGAATCGACTTCTTTCTCCAACTCGAATTTCTTCTTCAGTAATTTCGAGATATTTTCTTTCAAATCTTTGATGTTTGTTATTACCTGAGGGTTGTTGTTGTCAGCATCGTCGCTATTGGAAAAACTTAGCTGGACGGTGTTGTCCTGGTGGTTGAACTTGATGGAGATCCCCAGGTCGCTGAGCGACTTTAGAAGGACTTCTAGTTGGGAGGGAGGAACTTGCGGGGTCACTGGAGACAGTTGCTTCTTGCAGTTCACTGTCATGTTGTTCAGCTTAGCGATCTCCTTGTTCTTGCTCCAGAGCTCGGTGTTGACCAGTTGCTGGAGGTTCTGGGTCTTCACATGCAACTCCCGGGCCAAGGACTCGATTTTCTGGTTCTGCTCCTCGATCTCTGAGCTCTTGTTGGAGAGCTCGAGGTTCAGGGAATCTATTTCTTGGTTCTTGCGGTGGATCTCTTCGAGGTGGGTCAGGGTTGATGATTCTGCTTGGAGAGTAGAAATTTTTTCTTGATGAGCTTGCAAAAGGGATGACAACTCGTCGCGTTCTGCTATTAGAGTTTCTATTTCTTGCTGTTTTATTGCAAGGTCTCGTCTCAGCTCCTGGGTGGGGATTATTATTGTTATTAATGAATATTTAATTAATTGTTATTAATTATATTGGTTTTTTGTTGTTAGATTAATGAAAAAATGTATTTTAATTAATTTTTATTTTTTTTTAATTAAATAGGAGAGAAAATTTACAAATAGTTATTTTTAAAATAAATTATTTTTATTTTAAAATTTATAAGGAATTAAAATTTTTAAAAATCAATTTTTAATACTGTTTTTTTTTTTTTTTAAGTTTATCAATAAAACTGATTAAAAATTAGTATCTAATTTTTGCTCAATTCTTTTGACTATATTTTTTAATAATTGATACAAATATTAATAATTCAGATTAATATTTTTTACTTTAATAAAAAATTTAAGGCTAAAATTTTTAACAAAAATTAAAAATTTTTTTTTCTAATAAATATTAGTACTTATTATTAAAATTCTTTGATTAAAAATTTAAGTGAATAATAATAATAATTTTGAAACCATTATAAAGTTCGAAGTCAAAAATATTATTATTATTAATTTTCTTCAATAAATCACTTAATAATATTTAATATTACTTATGATTTTTTTTAATTTTAGCATTTAAAGTACTAAGTGCATATAATCCCTTAAAAAAATATAAAAAAAAAAAATATTTAAATTGTTAACAATTATATTACCTCAGATCCATGGTGTATTTGCTGTTCAAGTTTAGATTTTTCAGCTTTGATACTCGATATTTCATATCTAAGATCGTTTATCTTGGTTTCCATTTCTTCGAAGCGTTGCTAAAATAACAAATGCCTTGTTAACGTCAATAAAAAGTCATGCATAGTTTAAATAAAATAAATTTATTGCAATTAAATATCTTTACATGCAGTACAATTTAAAGTGAAAAAATAATTTAAAAAGTATCTCTTTATCATTATTATCATCATCATAAATATTAATATTTTCTCTTTGGTCTTAATTTTCTATCACTTGTAAATTAATTTCGTTTCTTTTTTTTCGACCAGGGTCTCGGAGCGACTAGTGTTATGACTGGTTCCTATAAAAAATTTCATTCTCTATAATAAGATACAATACTTTGATAAATCCTAGAGACAAAGCTCTAGCTGAGCAATCTTTAAAAATAAAACCACTAGATAAAAAAATTGAATATTTCCTTAAAAAAAATCTCGCATATTTAAAACGTCGCAAAAAATTTTTTTTTACAATTTAACGAACCTCCATGCGCACAGAGAAACATAAACACGACAACATGGTTTAAAAAAAAAATTTTTTTTTTCAAAATTCCAACACGTGCGTAAAATATTTTCCGTAAAAAAATACCGCAGTGTTAATTAATAAAATGACGATAAAATTTAATTAATTATTTATCACTTAAATAACAATTATCAATTATTTTTAATATAAATAATAATTGAAATTGAAAGTAAAATACAAGTGAATAAATATATCGTTCGGTAGCGGGCCACGCGTCGTATTTAACTGGCGAAATATTTAACAGCACGGCACCAAGAACTACTCGTGGATCTTTTTGTCTATTATTAGCATTTGAAGGAAGCCCTCTTTTCCTGTTTATATCACCGCGATTTTGTATAACATTTAATATATATATATATTTAAAAGCGCTTCTAATATAATACCAGGTTTATTGGCCTCTTATATATGTATTCCGTTTCATTTAGTTACAATTGAGTATTAATAAACTCTAATGGCTAATCTATCAAATATCCAGATATTTTTGCTCCGTGTCTGCTAAATTTAATTTTTAGAGCCTAAGTTAAAGTTTTAGTTTATAAAAACAATTTTATATATTTATATTAATGAATAATAAAATAAATAGATCAAATTAACTGATAGTTTATAAAAAAAAAAAAAAAAGTTAATAAGCTGGTCATGCACAGTAGAGCTGTCAAAGCAGTGAAGAAGAGGAGGAAGAAGTGGAAAATAGCTTCTGAAATAAAAAAGCAAGTCTCTTGAATTAAAAATGCTCCGTCTTTATTGCGTGTAGAAATATTGAGTCGGTTTTTGATAAAAGTGTGGAGAATTTTAAGTGCGAGCGAGGACAGAATGGTCACTTATGGTTAACGAACCTGACTGGAAGGATCTGAGTCCTCTTGATCAAACTCGAGGTTTCTTCTGGCCGTAACTTGGACAGATTTCTTCCTTGAGGATTCAGAGCTCTTTTTCAATTCTTGCTGTAGCTCCTTTACCTCGTTTTCCTTGATCTTGTGTTTCTCCTCGAGTCGACTTTGCCGGTTTACGAACTCCCGGATCATACCCAGAGCCTTGTCGTAGTTCTTCTTCAGGTCTTGATACTCCTTTTCAGTTTTTTCGTTCGATTTTTGGACATTGCACAGCTTTAGGACTAATTGTTTCTTTGATTCTTCTTGGCGACGGATTTCAAAGTCACGTTCTTCCAATTGCTGATTTTTGAAAATTTATTTTTAATAAGTACATTTTATTTAGTGGTAGAAAATTAAATTTAACTAGGTAATTTAACAAACCTTTTTCAAGTCTTTAATATCTCTATCAAAAATACTTGACTGAGATTGTGACTGTGATAATTTTAACATTCTTTCCTTTGCGCTATCCCAGTCATATGGACTGATACAAGATCTGGTGGGCGATAAAATTTGTGTAGAGCGATTACTAGATCTTGGTGAATTTATTTCGTCGATTATTGATGGGCTACTTGGTGGTGATAATCTACGGTTGTTTTCAAACTAAAAATACAAAAAATTTATTATTAATTATATGTTACAAATTACAAAAAAAAATAATTATAATAATAACTAGCAGCCTTGCAGTCACTATGTGACTGCCGTGATTTGTGAACTATAAATAATTAAAATTTTGTCGCTTTTATTTTATAAATTACAACATAAATTATATTAAATGTCTCAGTTGTAATTGCTGTCATTGTCAAGTTTTATTTAAATAATCATTTCAATCATTATTATTTTTTTTTACTCAAGGTTGGCGATTATTATTATTATTATATTAAGCCAGCCTAATAAGTTTAATAATTTTTAATTATATATTTTAAATTTAAGGTGACAAATTAATTTTGATTAAATTTTAACTCAAGAGAAGCCAAGGCAGAAGTCACACCTGGATCTTTTCCATTACATTTCAGGTATTCGATAATTTATAAATAATTTAAACTCGTTAAATGGGTAGGGTTGGCTTAATGTACCTATATTTATAATAATAACTACCAACTTTGCAGTCACTATGTGACTGCCGTGACTTGTGGACTAATTAATAAAATTTTGGTTGCTTAAAAAATGACTTTTGTTAAATGGCACTGTACTTTCTTAAATATTAACTTTTTTAAAGGTATAAGCTCATCCCGATGTTACACTCGTCAAGAGCTTTCATTTGAGTACCCACATGCATTTTTGATATATTTTTCATATATACATATATATAATATATATAAATATATGAAAAATTGATGTGGGTACTCAAATGAAAGCTCTTGATGAGTATACCATCGGAATGAGCTTATATCTTTTAAAATGTCAATAGTTAACAAGATACAAGGTCATTTCTCAATTATCTAGAGATACAGCATTTTCGAATGCAGCCTAAATACTTATCATCATAAATTAACTATTGGTGAGAAAGATATAAAACCTTGAAAAGGCACAAATTCAATTCAAGACTTTTGCAATGACATTAAATTTGACTAAAAAGACCGATTTTATCATATGACTATCTTGGAGACAAAATTTTTCTTATTCTCTTAATAATAATAATAATAATAATAATAATAATAATAATAATAATAATAATAATAATAGTTGTTTATGTACCTGGTTTAGCAAAGTGCGATATTTGTTATTAGAATCAACGAGAGCATCATCACGAGACTTAACCGAAGCCCTAAGCTGATCAACTTGTTTCTTGCGTTTCTCAGCAACAACACTAAGTTCCTCGTAAGCGCGACATTTTTCTTCAAACATCAAAATTTTTTCTTTTATCACGCGCTCTTTTTCCGCCAATTCTGTTTTATACTGCTGGGCAACATTCTCGCGTCTGAAAGCCTCGTCCTCGAGTTCCTTTATCTTCTCCCGCAGACTTTCAATGTCTTGGTCTTTGTCTGCTGCGAGCTTTTCACGGGATTTCACTTCTTCTTCCAACCGGATCCTCAGTTCATCCCTTTCTGTTTCTAATTCTTGACCCCACGTTCTTTCTTCATCTAAACTCGCTGTTAACTGCTTCACCTAGATGATATTAATAAATACAATTAATTATCAAATCAAAAATCAAATAAAAAATTTTTTTAACTAAATTAAAATTAATAAAAAAATTACCTCAGCTTCAAGAGACTCAACAATTCCCTCCATTTGTAATAACTTTTCTTTGTTCTCAATAGCCAACTCAGGCGTGATTCCTAGGGTCTCATTGAAATAAATTGACGGATCTACATCAACCATTTTTTCTTTGTACTCCTCTAGTTCTATTTAAACAAACAAACACAAACATGAACCAATAAATAAATAAATTAATTAATTTTAATAAAACCAACAAAGCAGTCAAGTGAATAAGTGATGAGTTGTACCTCTTTGAAGCTCTTCTATTCGTCGCCTCTCGTTCTCCAACGACTGTTCATACAATTCTTGGTTGCGGCTAGCTTCTTCTTTCTGCTCCTCATGCAATTCAAAAGCTCTGGCTGCCTGGCTCAAAAGCTCTTGCTTCTCCTCAATTTCTTTCTTCAATTCTCTGTTTTCTACCTGAAGAATAAAATTATTGTTAATTATATTGCACGCCTCATAGTGCTCTACTCTCGACATTAAAAAAAAAGCAGTTTTCTCGAAACTGAAATTGATTTTTTTTTTATTTATATCACACTTACAGATTACTATGAGTGTACTAATATCAAGTCAAATAATTTTTCAGGCACATAAAATATAATTCAACAATTATTTTGTATAACAGAGTTAATAATAACATTAAAAATAATCTTTTCTGGACGTCCGTGTGTCTGTGTTTATGGATTAGTATATGTAGCAGGGAAATTGGTCTGAATTATTATTTATAAAAAACTAATATATGACTGTGGATTTTTTTGTATATCTATCTATACAATTTATTATAGTATTTTTTTCCTCGCCTTAGAATTTTGACGCCACTAAACTATAACAGGATTTTCTGTTTTTTATTATTTTGCTTTTTATATATTATTTCAATAAATTTTATTGCGAAAAATAAGATTATGAGGCGTGCACTTTTGGATTTTCTAAACTTTTTGATTTTTATTAATTTGGAAAAAAAATTTCAATTATTAAAAATCAATATTAACCCGAGAACATTGCACTGATAGAAGGATTTGTTTATAGTTAAAAATATTTGTTAATATTTAACAAATCATTTATTAGAGAGTACTTTTTAATCCTTAACAAATATTTTTTAGTATTTAAAAAGATTTATTAATATTTAATAAATGATTATCAGATTTATTAAATACAAACAAATCATTTTAAATACTAAGCAATATTAGTTTAATACTAAAAAGTGGTCTCTAATAAATAATTTGTTAACTATTAAAAAATGTTTTTTAATACAAACAAATTCTTCTATCAGTGTGGGGGTCATTTTGACCCCAGAGTTTTTTTTATCCTAAAATATTTCTCGAAAATAGGTTCATTTTTGATTAATTTTTTCAACATTAAAAACTATTTAATTCAGAATAATAATAATTGTATTCAAAAGAACATTGTTTCACCCACCAAAAATGTAATAATCTGAATTCCGATAAAATGCATAGTTTCTGAGATATAATTCTTTGAAGGTGTTTAGAAGGTGTTTGGAGGTGTTTGGAGGTGTTTAGAGGGTTAATTTATAATTATTAATCAATATAAATTAATATAAATAAAAATATTTAAAATAAAACTTAAGTACCTCTAATTCAATATTCTTTTTTATATTATCTTCTTCTGTAGTTCCTAGTCCAACATACCCCATTTTTTCTTCAAGGAAAAAAACCCTCATTTTCAACTGAAAATTTTCTTTTTGTAATGCGCTTAGTTGATCTTCATAATCTTTCATTGTTCTGCCGCCGGCTGGATGGACTTTGCCTGGCGACTTTGAAGTTGAACCTGAAAAAAATAAAATATTTTAATTAGAAAAAATTAAAAAAATTTTTATTAAATATTAAAAAAAAATGTTTGCTATAAATTAATTTAAAAAATAATAAAAGTAAATAAAAATTTTTTTTTTTGGTTAAATAACCTACTAATGTCATAAATTAAAAAAAAAAATGAATGAAATCTTACAATTCATTTTACCACAAAAGGTAGAAAAAACAGCGCACCCCCACCCCCGTTTATTTGATTGAATTTTAAAATATTTACGTAACATGCATGATTTATTAAAACGACGGAGTAATTTTATCGCAACTTATATTCTGTATCAGTACCGACGTTTGTAAGAAATGTTTCCTCCATTTTGTGATACTAACACTACACTTGACGCGCTAATAAATTTTTTTAACAGACGAAAGCTCCGCTAAGGAATTAATAATAGAATTTAGTTAAAAATATATTTAAATAAATATTGCGATTTAAAAGTTGGCTAAAAAATAATTATATATCTTCAATCTGACTCGTGGGTTTTAATTTATTTCAGAGCGAATTGGGACGATTATAATTATAGCCATAAATATAAATTTAATTGGGCGAAATTTTGTAGTTTTGATTTTTTATAGATTATTGTATTAGATTGGGATTGTTCGCGGGTGCCAAGATCGCGAGTGAGTATCAAGAACAGGCGTCGCGACGTGCGCCTCGACCCTTTTGGCGAACCACCAAGACGCTTGCAGCTTCTTCGCGACCTATTATTATTCCTCTTGTTTTTGCTATACTCCACACTGATATCAAGAGATTCAATGTGTTGGCTTGGTTGGATTGAGGCAGTTTGTAATCCCTCGAGCTTTAGTTTGAGACTGGACCGATAGCTTTTGTCTCAAGCGGCAAAAACGCTTCAGATGCTGTACATTTTTATTTTATTTTATTTGCTTTGTTCCTTGTTGAATTCAGATCGAAAGTTCACTGAAGACTAGAGAATGCTTCTTTACTTTTTGTTTTATATTTGTATTTTTAAAAATTTATTTTGACTTTTAATTAAAATTTAATCAGAAATTTTTTTTTTTTTATTTGGGATTTTTAAATAATTTATGAAATATTTTTGAAGAAATGTCAATTATTTTTTTGTTAAAAAATTTAATATTATAAATTAATGATAAAATATTTTTAAATAAAAAATTTATAAAGAAGAAATGTCAACTATTTTTTTATAAAATTAAAAAAAAAAAATTTAATATTATAAATTAATTAAAAAAAAAAAAAAAAAAAAACATTTTAATGCAAAATTTATAGAGAAGAAATGACTATTATTTTTTTTGTCAAATTATAAAGATAAAATGTCAATAATTTTTGTTAAAAAATTAATTAAAAACATTTAATATTAAAAATAGATGTCTTTATTTAAATTTTAATTAAATGAATTTATTTTTCAAAATATTAAGATTGAAATTGAATAATAAATCATTACCAAACATTATTTCTACTTGAAGAGGTTTTTCTTCGCCGTCTTCAAAATTTTTGACAGTCGAAGCTGAAACTTTCGATTCGCGACATCCCATAACACCTTAAGTTTCCTCCACTTTGAATTATCTCTCATCGCTCTTATCCTAATTACCCATCACTACGCTCCAAGTAATAAGTGCTCAAGACTAAACTTAAATAAAAACTGATTTATAAAATAAAACAAAAATGTCGTTTAGTTTAAGCGTTAGTCGCGCCTCAACTAACTAACTACTGCTACCACTACAATTGTTATTACTCTTGCCAAAATTTTCGCGACGTAATAATACGGTTTAATTTTATTTTCAATGTTACATATGTGATGGATATATGTATATATTTAGGGAGTAAATTTGGTATTTATTTATTTTAAAATATTCTTGTAGTAAGTTGAGGAGAGATGATTGATACAATGACAGATTTTTTTCAATTCTTTTAGACCTCCCTGTCTGGAAGAAAAGAATAATAAATTAAACTAATTAACGGAAAAATTATTATTATTATTATTATTATTATCATAAAACATTTAAAAAAATTTTTTTTAATATTACACGCAAGAAAAGTATTTAATTATTTCTTCTTTTTTTTTTTAAATCTATTAATTACTTCTTCAATAAAGTAATTTTTTAAAAATCATTTAATAATAATAATTTCATGCCAACATTATCTGTATTATTAAGAGAATAAGAAAAATTTTGTGGCCAGTTTATTTATATGATAAAATGGGTTTTTGTGGTAAAATTTGGTATCATTAGAAAGGTCTTAACTTGGAGTTGTGCCTTTTCAAGGTTTCATTCAAAAATGCTCGATCTCTAGACACATAATTAATAAATGACCTTGTATCTTGTGAACTATTGATATTTTTAAAGATATAAGCTCATCCCGATGTTACACTCATCAAGACCTTTCATTTGAGTACCCACATCAATTTTTTATATATTTATATATATCATATATATGTATATATGAAGTATAT